CGCTGCCTGGCTGGTTCCTGGGTTAACTAACACTCAGCCACTGAGCCACACTGGCTGGGCGGCTACGGCATTTCTGAACAGCACTGGCCAGTTACGGTGTAAACTCGCGGGAGTTTGTCATGCGTGGTGTAGACTGTCCCTCCGTTTGGTTTGTCCTGATGTCTCCTTGGGGTTTATGCGACGCGTTTTGGGCAGGAATCTCGCAGAAGCAATGCCCTCTGGGACGTCCCGTCGGGAGACGGGGGAGGGCCCCTGCCCGTTATTGGTGATGTTCTCTTGGGTCCTCACTGGAGGTGGTGTCGCCAGGTTCTCCACCGAAAAGCCACGGTGTGTCTCTTTGTCCCTCATCAGTACCTTGTGGGGAAGAGCTTGACGCTGTAAACATCCTCTTCCTCCCCTCCTCCTCCCGCCCGACGTGAGCATCCACGGCCCCCTCGCCTGACGCAGCTGCCCCTGGGCGTCCGCCCGGCGACGCGCTCCGTCTGTCGAGCGCCTGGACTTTACTGTAAGGAGGAGCCTTCCTCTTCCTCCCGTTGACGTATTTGTTCCAACGTGGACTCGGAATGTTGTTGTATTTCACGAGTGACCGGCCATTTCTCCCGTTATGGAGTCTGTTGCTCAGCTTGTCCTGCGTTTGGCTGTCAGACCCCTTTCAAGGTGAACAGCCTCGGGGCTCCTCTGTACCCCACCCTCTCCTCCCCCCGACATTATTTTGAATCAAATCCCGGAGATCGTGTCACTTCGTCTGTAAATATTTCCGTGGCTCCAAAAGGCAGGGATTCTTTTTATAGAAACACAGATAATGCCACCGCCACACCCAGTGATGCCGACGATCCTTCCTAAATGCCACCCCATATCCGCCACTGTTCCCGTTTCCCCGGTGGTCTGAGGGGTGCGTGTGTGGCTTACAGGTTGTTTGAATCCGGAGTCAGAGGAGGGCCTTGCGTTGTGATTGGTCAGTGTGATTCCTTTTGTTTGTTGTTTTTTTGTTTTCCTAATCCTCACCCAAGGATATTACGTTGATTTTTAAAGAGTGGACGAGACGGGGAGAGACAGAGAGAGAGAGACATCCATGGGCTACCTCCCGCACGCACCCTGACCGGGGCTGGCGATCGGGCCTGCAAGGGAGATACATGCCCTTGACCGGAATTGAACCCGGGACCCTTCGGTCCACAGGCCCCAGGCACGGCACTCTGTCCACTGAGCCA